AAAAAAGTACAAGCAGAAATAGGGAACTAGTCTTTTTTCTCCGCTTGTATTCTTCTGTGGTGAAAAGCAAAAAAGAATCTTTAGCTGTGTTCTGTATGTTTTTTTTTTGTCACGCTTATTTTTTGATCATTTGCCTACATAAACTTGTGTACTTCGCTTTAAATAAATCTTGCCAAATAAAAAATACTCAGGCAAGAAAATACCAGAGTTGAGGATAAGTCGATGTTGACATATTCATAGTCTAGCAGTCTCCGTCTTTATTAATACAAAACATAATGAAAACGCATTTTAACACTTTTACATTTTGGCTCGGATGACACGTTAGTAACTGATTTCGATAAGAAAACACTATTAAAACACAAGTAACAATCGTCGTTTTGACTAGTTTCACCCAGTGAATGTAGAAGAAGAAAAATATTTTTTGCACATACCACTGTAAAACGGTCGGATCTAGTAGTTGTAAGCAAAGAAGAAATTAAGATCTTCTAACTGCACTTTCGTTATTCGCAAAGTGTCTGCTTCGTTCTTATAGAGCAAATACTAACTCGTGATATATCTGCACTGATAAATCAACGGTGTCATTGAAGAAGCTTTGCATAGTGTTCACAATCTTGCTGTCGTGATCTGCACTTCTCTACATATCTTCACGCTCACCTCAAAGTTCCCGTTCTTTAGAATATGTACGTTTTGTAGATTCGGTTGTTTGATTCATTATAATGTCGTTCGCCGACTGCGCGTTTGATACAAATTCAAATACCGATACAACTGAAACACTAATCAAAGCAAACAGTGTTGATACGGATAGCAAAGATACAACAACTTCTGGAAAATGGGAATATTTAGATATAGGCGAGGTTATGAATCAAATTCTTCAGGATGAATGTGGTATCCTTACCAAAACCATCGATATAATTGATAATTCACCGCTCAAAAAAATAGCAGATCATTTAAATCAGAGTAACGTATTTATCGATAACGATCCAGCAAATCGTCCAACGAAAGGATTGATCGTTATTGGTTCTTTTGGTGTCGGCAAGAGTACAATTCTGAATTGGTTGATTGGTGACAACAGTTGTTTTGCTACTGGTGGTAACGAATCGGCAGTTACGAAGAAACCTGAGCGCGTAGTTGTTCGTGGACAAAAATTCGATTTTAATATCATTGATATACCAGGTTTTGAACCCGGTCGAAATAATTTTGAAATATTACGTTTTATGATTAGATATATTTTATCTAAATACTTTCCAATTAACGCAATCTTATTGGTTATACCAGCAACAGAAACTCGTTTCAGTAAAGATCTACTCGAAGAACTGAGTGTGTATAAAGAAACGTACACCACACCAATCATCTTTGTAATAAATAAGACACCAAAAGATGTTGACATCATGGAAGATATCGAGGAGCAATGGAATGAAAACTTGGGAAGAATTAATGAAAAAGTGAAAATTGATGGACAGGTCTTCGTTAGTATGATATCTAGAAAACGCCAGTCTATCCCAGAACAAATTGGTAATGAATTGACAGCAACAATAATTGCACACATGGTGCGGGATCCAGACGTGGTTAAATCTGGAAGGATCAATATTGTTGACGAAGACAGTAAGGGACTTTTTCTCGCAGCGTGTATGAAACGAGCCAGTGTCGCCATTGCAGCTGGTTGTGCAGCATCGGCAGCAGTTGGTGCATCGCCCATTCCATTCTCTGACTGGATATTATTAGTACCAATTGAGATCGGTATGCTACTTGCTATAGTTAGAGCATTCAGACTAAAGCTAGAACGAAAGGCGGTTCAATATATATTATTTTCATCGGCTACAAGCGGCTTAGGTGGGAAATTTCTGGGCAAGTTTCTGGCCACTACAGTTAAAATGATACCCGGTTTGAATATAGCTGCAGCTATTGTTGATGCTGGCATATCATCTTTAATTACACTATCAGTAGGATTAGCATTTATGCTAGCTTTGAAAAACTTATACTATGAAGAACTGAAATTAGACGACTTGAGTACAGAAGAGCAACAAAAGCTAATTCAAAAATATTTTTATCAATACCTAAAAGAACTTCAAACAAGATCAAAAGAACAGCTATATTCACTATGGGAACGTGAAACATCATTAAGCTCATCTGATCGAGAAAAACTCATAGATAGCACAAAAAAACAAACCGAAACAGCTATCAATAACCAGCAAACACAACTACAAAAAAAATCAATAGCGATCGAGAAACTGAAACGAAACAACATCGATGTTGAAGAGATCTGCTGTATATGCTTAATAAATCCATCTAACATGGTTACAGATCCTTGTGGACATATGTGTATGTGCGATGCTGATTATGAAGATCATATGGCTAGACTATCTGATTCAGCGAGAGTTTGTCCAATATGTCGTTCGCAAATAAAATTAGCAATTAAGAAGTTCACTCCCAAAACATAGTAATTATTGATATTCACTCGTGACATTCAAACTGTAGATGCGTTATTCACCATCTTAAGACTCAAGATTGTTCTTTAATATATATTCACATTCACAATAAAGTAAATAAAATTCTTCTACATCGAGGGTGTGGGTGTGGGTGTGGGTGAGGGTGTGAGGCTGAGGTGTGTGGTTCAAAGCAAACCAAGACGCATTTCGACCTTGCTAGAGGGTCTTATCAGTTGGTTTCGACCAGAGCTCCGCGTGGGATGGGACAATCCCATCCCACCATGGGACTAAGATTTTTTAGAAATCTCATCCCATCCCATGGGACGCTTTTTTTGAATTTAGTATTTTATTCGAAAATTTTGTTAGTACAGAGGTCTCTCGTATTCATTCAACCGAAACAAGTTAATGTATGTTTGAAAATACTTCTTGAATGGTCAGAAGACATAACCACTAAACGGCGACAGAATCGAAAGAATGAATCAGAATATAGACAAAAAACTCGACTGAATCAAATCTATTGTAATACAAAAAGATCATTACATTTTCGCACAACTTAAGAGGGGGGGGGGGGGGGTGGCCCCACCAGAGCCTAGCCCCAATTAGGG